AGCCAGCAATACATCAATTTGTAAAAGCAACATGTGAGCACTCTTAGTTGCAAGTAATGTAAACATGTAAACCAGTTTTATCCTGACAGAAAAAAGATTTTGCAAATTCACAGAATCCGTATGAGGACCAGGCCTGGAAATGGGCAGGTTCTAAAAAGCCCAATACACAGCAGAAGCACCAGCAAAGAATATTGGGTGCAAAAAATTGTCTGCATATTGTGTTGGTATCGGAGTGTAAATGATTCTTTACCCTTCTATATCTTTAATATATGCTAAAAAACCAAAACTCTATGCAGCAAACATCTAATTGGAAGAGCATTAAGCATGGGAGAAGAATGTGGTAACTTTTAGATCTGTGTTAACAGACAAGCATTATCTTTCACTAAAACTATATTATTGATGGATCCCCCAAATATTATTATGTATAGACACACCCATTAAGAACACATTGTGTATTTCTTTACAGTTAATTTTTCTATTGCAGAGTACACCTAATTGTACTATACAATTTGATTATCATTTATAACGTAATGTCTCACCTTTTCCAAATGTATTTGCATTTCTGTTGTTTGTTATATGTAATTTTTTCTTATTATTAAACCCACATTAACCTAGTTATGTGAAATAGGCACATAATTAAGGTCAAATATTCACTTTTCAATGATGTGGTTTCATTTCTTTCTATTGCATTAGCAATTTCATTTGAACAGCAGTAACAAAACTGTTGCCAAGTACAATCAAGGTTTTCAAGTTGTTGTCATAGCAAACTAATTTTCAAAACTGGAGATGTGAAAACTAAACTGGCAGACAGTATCATTTGAGTCACCTCAGAAGTCTGCAAGTCAACTGACCATGTAGAAGAGGCAATATATACTGTTAGTATATAACATACAAAAGTGGAGATTGCAAGAAAACAACCTTTGAGATGGATAGTTGGCTACGTTTATAATCATTGGCAAAGGGATACACATGGTGCTAGGGGCTGGCTAACAAGGGTTCTGGCAGTATGGGTAGTTAGCACAGACTGTTAAGCAGTAAATGCTAAAGGATGAACAGAGTTGCCTAATCTAGGTTAAAGGACTAGAGATCAAAAGGAATGATAGTTAGAAGAACAAGTGCAAACATCCTTGAGCATGAAAGCAGGTATAATTAGAATTCAAGAAAGTGAATATGATGTAATATGAAACTGCGAATATAGTCAGAGGCCTAGGGGTATTGAAATGTTTTAAGAAGTTAGTGAAGTAATGAGCTTGCATTTAAAAATTTAGCTCTAAATATAGGCTAGAAAGTGGATTAGAAGAAGGTTATATGAATTCTTGGAGATCAATTGCAACGTTAATCATGCAAATTTTGAGAATATACTGTCTCAGACATGGTTGCTAGGCAGGGATAAATTGGTGAACATGATTAACAAGGCCCTTACGGTATCTTAATGTTTTCAAAGGTAGAAAAATAAACATGCATACATGTATGGGTATTTTTATAAGACTGTAAAATATGAACATTAATATCTTCAATAAAGACAGATTTAATAGGAATAAAACATTCAATTTTTGTTTACTAGTTACTTGGTAAATGTTTAAACTTCTGTGTTGTTAAAATATCATCTGTAAAGTGAAGAGACTAATGAATTGAATATTTTGCCCCCACATCTAAAATTTATTAATTTAATTTCACAATTTGAAATTACAACCACATAATATTTGGAAACCTCTTACTCAATAAGAAAAGTTAATTCCATTTGTACAAGTAAAACTTTAAGTGAAAATTTGTATAGTTTTGCAAGCTGAAATCAAATGATTTATAGTCTAATGATTCCTGTGATTATAGCAATGGTTCATATCCTAATTACTGACTATTGAGGTATGTGAAATAGTTTCTTCTGGCTCACAGTGATTATAATTTCTCAAACTCGTTTTACAGGCAGAGATGACAGACTAGAAGATGCTCTGTTATAATGAACTTGGACACAGAACATTTTAATTAGGAAATGTTAATAACTCCAAGAAAGGATGCAATTCTACAATAGTCATGAAAAAAATTGAAGTACAAACAGTAAGTGATAAATTCCTGGAGGTACTGGATCTTGTAATTGTACCTAGTGTTACATTATGTATTTCTAGTACCTCATAGAGGGGGTAAAAACAGTTATGATAGCTAAGAAATGATTATATGAAAAACATTTAATCCTCTGATTAACAATTTAAATTTACTATGAAAATGTTATTGCTGTTGATAATATAGTAGTTCACATTTTCAAAATAAAATAGAGGAATTATATTTCATCAAAACTTTAGGTAATAAAAACTAGTCCACCACAACAAATGATATATGATTATTGCCACAAATTTAGTAATTTTTCAGATATAATTCTTATAATTACAAAGGTGTGAGAAGTTTTTCACCCTCTAATTTGAAGAGTAAATACATGGGTAGTATGTTCATTTGTGAATGAGGGTGGATGTTTCATAACCTCAAATTAACTTTCCTAACTTCCCATTCTCTGATGTCCTGAGAGTACAAATGAAAGCCAAGATGGAGACTGAAAAGGAGGGAGGAAAGGAAAAGAAGGAAGTATGAATAAAGAGGGAATAAAGGAGAAGAGGAATGAGTATGAGATGAGAAACAAAAAGTGTTACCCAATTCAGAGGTGGAGTTGGGGAAGTTAATTCTCCAAAGAATCTCAGCAATTTGGTCTTCCACACTTCACTTTTCAGAACTATTTTATTGCTTGGGAAAATAAATATGTCACAAACTTTAATAAATTAAGTACTTAAATTCAGTTCAATCTTCTTTAGTACATTGGGTGTGAAACCAGTTCATTCAGCATCTTGAAAATTGTAAACAAAATCAAAATTTTCCTTCCATCTTGCCCCCCTCTCTCTCAAATTTTCAACTGGTTTGTGCCCTTGACATTTGTATTCAATAACTGTAATTCCAGTGAAGGGACCTGGAGGAGGCAGCTAATATTGAATGAAAAGAATGGGGTCTAGCACTTGCCACCGGATGGTTTGGAAACCTGGCCAAGGTTAGCACCAAGAGTCATATCTTCCAGATACGTGAAGAGTGTGTGTTCAGCAGGGTTTTCCTTAAAAGAAGAAAATAGATTTGGTGTTGGAGGACTATTCTCTCTTGTTAGTAAAATGCAATGGAGGTCTTAGCTGTATCAAGGTTGGTGCCTTCAGGGAGTGGAGTTTGTGATGTGAATAGAGTAGGGTGGAGCAAAGGGAATAGACGCAAAGGTGCCTTTCTTCCTGAGGTCATGGATAAGAAGGGAATGTAGACAAAGAGCCATCAGTCTCAACTTCAGGGCCCCAGTTGTAGCAGAGTACTAGAAAAAGTAGTACTATTTACAGATAACAGCTATGGAATATTATATGCCAGAATATTATAACATAATTCTTAATCACTGTGAGTTATTTACTATTAACTCATAATTAAAAGTTTATGTACTTTTATTGAAGGTCAAACTGAGGCCCGGAGAAGTTCAATAACTTACTTGAGGTTACATCACTATGAAATGAAATAAATGGGAGAAGATCAGATTGCCTATTTGCTAATCAAACCAACTTATAGCCCTTAAATGGAATCAAACATAGCTTTCCTTAGGTTAGCTAACAATTTGTTCTGTGACACATTATGGTCAATCATTAGATTTGGGTACAAAGTTTGTTTACAGGGAGAAGTGCCCAGACAAATGGGCTGCTTTCCTCACTAGCTTAGTATTTTTTCAGTGATGTGAATTTTTCAAATACTAGGCACACCCTAGTTTTAAGTATGCAAGCACATTCCAAAGTGTTATTTCAGTTACTGTTTTTCTTTTCTTTTGCTTTAACAGGGACCACAGCATTTTAATGAAAGACAGATCATAAATATATTTCAGTTATAAACAGGGAAAGCAGTAGTTACCAGACTGATTCACTCATTATGGGGCTTGCATTGCAAAGATTTTCTAAGGGGTTTGGAACAAAATAAGAAAAAAAGATCTATGAACTTTTTTGAAATGTTTGGAAGTGTTTCATTCTGAAGTACAATTTTTCTACCTCTTCTTGGAATTTTAAGTTTCTTGCATCGGATTACCCTTTCTTCATAAATTAAATCTGTGATTAGGTGGGGAAAGCCTTATTTTGCTTTTGAGGTCGTTTTGCAGGGTATTATATTTAAAAAGCAAAGAAGATAAAAGATTGTTTTTATAAAAGCAATGCAATTACAGAAAAACAAGAAACTTCTGGCTAGTCTTTAGAGAAAATAACAAATGATCTCACAGTGGGAGGAGCGGGCAGCTGGAGGCACTGACTGGCTTCAGGAAATTCTAGAATCTCGTGACACTTTCTTACATTTGATCAAATTCAAGCTTGTATTTTCTTTTTCCCCAGAAGTCCAAGAACCACCACTATGATTTATTCAAGTCCATATAGTTTCCTCAGACCAGAGCACAGTGCTTTACAAACATTAGGATTGAAATAAGTGCTAGCAGAGGTGAGGTCTCTCTGGGGGGCTCCGAATATTCAGCTCTGCCACACCAACACAACCACTTTAGCACGACTGTAAATAGCATTTCTAAATCAGAAAGCAGACAAATTAGAAAATCTTTATAGTTCACAGTTACCAGCAGTGAAAATTTCATCGGTGGAGGCACTGATTGAATTGCAAAGGATTTGGTGGGGCTTAAAAAATGTTGGGGTTTGTGGAGAATCCACTCAAACTTTAATCGGAAACAGGGTCGTTTAGTGAATAAACTGACACACCTGCTTCTCTAACTAGACAAGCCCGGGAGCCACCACCGCCACCTCCTGGTCACATCCGGGCATTTTACAAACTTTTACGTTCCGACGTCCCAGGCCGTTGGGTTTATTTGAAACACACGCAAAGCCAATCAACATATTCCTATCGGGAGGAGGCGGAGAGCAGCGACCAATCACCATCTCTCTGGAGACGCCAGCCTATCAAACTGAGGTTGACGTCATGCGCCAATGGGCAGCACTCTTAGAGACTGCAGCTCGCTTTTTGAATTGGCGGTACCCGCTCGGGGCATGCACGGGCGGTAACGGTGAGAGGAATCGGCGCTTGAAGAGGTGAACTTTCCAGGACATTTTTTGAGTGGTGAGACCCCTGTGGGTTAGGGCGGTAGAGGTGAGGACGGCCCAGCTTTCCCAGAGTAGTGGGCTGCTTGGCTTGTGCCCGGCAGCACCGCCCCGGTGACCGCGAATTCCGGAGCGTTCCGGTGCAGCCTCCTGACTCTGGGAACTTCCCCCACGGCAGCGAGGCCGTGACGCGGAGGGGAGCCTGAAGCCTTACAGACCGATGGGCGTCGTCATCGCCCATCGGGTTGGAGATTTTTTTCTGCATGAATCTCTGGGTGAAGGGAGGAATTTGGAAAGGGGGTCTTAGCGAGCCCCGCCGTGGGGGCAGACAGCTGCAGCTTTGGGGGCTGCTTTCTAAGAGTCTTCCTGGCATCCCTTCTATGGGAAGTTTACTTTTTACTTTTTCTCTCTACTTCTCCCACCCCGCTCCCCAATTCCCATTCTTTCTCGCTACAAATCTGTATTGCTTTGGGTTTAAAAGCTATGCCTCTGGAATCCATCCTGAGTTGAATCCCTGTTTTATTACAAACTTAGGGGAAGTTAACCTCTGTGTTCCAGATTTATCAGTGAGATGGAGATAATAGGACTTGTCTCTTAGGAATGCTGTAAATGTAAATAATTACGAGTAAGAGATTTCCTACAATGACTGCCACACAGTAAGCTTTGACTCAATGTTAGGGATTAATCAGGATGTTCATAGTAATGTTAATATTGTCATTGTCATTAACATCACTAACATATCCACTATTGCCTTTATCTCCTCATCCTGAAAGCTGATTGCCAAAAAATAAGTAAAAGGAGGCCTAAAGGGAATATTTGTTTAAACGACAAATTTTGTCTTTGGGATGAAAAGAAGCAAGTCTTAGTGTATTTATTCGGAAGCTCTGTGAATGTTTTCAGATGAGAAATAGGCTGTGTGAGCTTATGAACACTTACCTATTGTTTATTTAAAAAGCTTATAAAATACATAAATATGAAAAAGTGTTTAGTGCATTTTAATTTGGGCATTATAGCATCAATTTACCATGCAACTCTTCCTCCCCCCACCCCCCAATTTGAAAATGTTTTGGCGGTATGTTGATCATATATCACTTAATTTTTAAAATTTAGATTTTGGTTCATCTGATAGTCTTTCAAGGAGTATAGGAAAAAATATATTTTCTTTTTTGATTTATTTGGTAAAATCTTTTCAATTCTTAGGGCAGGTTAGTTCAATTTTTGAGTGATTTGTTTCTTTTTTATGGTAACATTCTTATTAATGGAACTTTGAATAAAAGCCTGTTTACACCCTTTCCTTTTCGCTAGAAACAGCTAAGTGTGTGAGAATTAAAACAATGAGAAAAAGGTCTGGATAGAATTTATTATGGATTCTGAATAAAGATTCTATTGGAGCACTCTTTAGAGCGCATAAAAAATGAGGCATACATCCATGTGAATATTATGTGAAAATTAATAATTGTCACTAGTTTTTAAGACATCAGTTCAGTTTTTCTCACAACTTGATTTGAGTTGTATTGTTAACCTCTTCCACTCATGTGAAACTCTAGCGTACCCTACGAAGGCAGAGCTTGGACTGGGGAGTTGAGTCACTGAAGAGTACACCAAAGAGTTGTGCTTAGGTTTATTGTTATTAACGTGCACATTTTTACATGACACCATCCAGAATTGATGCTAATGATACCATACTGTTTCTCTGGTCAGATCAATCAATATTCACACTAATCCATACATAATTGTCTTGTTAAAGCTTCTAGAGGAGAGGCATTTGTAAATAATATGAAAGTATAGATAAGGGAGCAATCCACTTTTTATGAGAAATACATAGAGGATGAGACAAGAATGGTGAGTAGGGACATACTGGGTGGAGGATTGAGCACAATTAACTAAATCGATGTGGATTAAGTTGTAATTTGTGTTTGACAAATGCTGAGAAATAATCTTGGCTGGCATCTATATACAGTACATGTAGACTAAGAGAATAATAGAAGATAAAATTGAACAGGTAGATTAAAACCAAATTGTAAATTGGATGGCGAGTTAAGACTTGACCATGTATAGAAATTTTTAAGTAGGGTAGTGACGTGGTCCTATTTGTATTTAGGATCATACCTTTTGCAAAACTATAAAGAGACCACTGAAGAAACTGACCATAGTGATACTTGTTTGAAGCTGTTCAAGTTACTAGGTAGCCATTGTGATACTGGGATTGAGAAGGGACCGGTCCCAGAAATACTTGAAATGGGATTGATAAACATTTGGGGGGAGAGTGAACGAGGAAGAGAGTAAATATGAATCCAGTTTTTAACTGAGGTCATTTGGATGACGATATGGTGGTATAAAAGAGTATAGAAAAACAAATAGGCTGGCTGAAGGCAGGTTGTAGAGGAGAAAGATAGAATAATACAGACATTTTGGAATGTTTATTGTTTGTCAGGTAATGTTATCAGTACTTCAAATATATTGGTATTTTTACTATATTTCTGTGAATCAAGTTGAATGGTTTTCTTTGGTTCATTTAAAAAAAATGGGTGATGATACTTTTCATATGTATTAGGTATAAAAACTAATGATTTTGCTCAGTAATCATGTTCTTTTCATGTTGTTGAATTTTTTGTTTTTCAGCTGACATAGAAGAGTTTAAACAATGGCTGACAACAGTGTATTAACATCCACTACTGAGAGGACAAGCTTCGCTGATTCTTCCATTTTTGATTCTAAAGTTACAGAAAATTCTAAGGAAAACTTATTTATTGCATCTACTTCATATGTTGAAGGTAATTTTGTTAGCTGCTTTCAAACACAACCACTGTCTTTTCCCCAATTTTATTGAGATATTATTGTCTTATACCTCATGTATAAGTTTAAGGTAGTACTCGATGATTTAATTTTCATGAATGTGATATTTCAACTCACTGTTTTTGTCCTAAGCTAGTAAGACTTTCCTCTAGTTGTAGTATTGCTAAGTTAGAGTACAGGTATTCATTAAAATATTTGTTGACAGAATCCCTTTATACTATGTAGAGTTTTGATTACTGCTTGGATTAGTGTTTCCTCACTTTGAAAGGGGAAGTCATCTTTTTTTTTTTTTTATGTGTAATGGTAGTCCAACCTACAACACTATTAGGTAGAATTTGTTTGCTTCTGGCTGGTGAAGATCCACTATTGCCCTTACCTTTTTGTAAATTGTCCTTCCTAAAGTTGTATGTACTGTTGAAGAGATGATGGTGCATGCTTTTTTGGTTAGGAAGGTGCTGACATTGTATGCATCGCTATAATATATTTTCTCTTTCACTAACGTGATGTATGGCCATTTAAAAACTATAAGATGAGAATTAAATCATTTTAAATTTAGAGTCTACTATGATCTCCTCAAAGGTGGAAAATTTACCAGGTCTATCTAACAAAGGGATTAGAAACTACTGCTTTTGATGTTAGTGCCTGATAAACATTGAAATGTTTGTCATTTTTAATAGAAGAAATGCCTCAGATTGAAACAAGAATGATATTGGTTCAAGAAGCTGGAAAACAAGAAGAACTTATTAAAGCTTTAGAGGTATGTAGTTTCAACTTTTAGGTTATTTTTCTTCCAGTGTGTAAATAATTTTATAGTTTTCTTAATCTTACACTTAAGTCTCTTTTTCACAGACTATTAAAATAATGGAAGTCCCTGTAATAAAGATAAAAGAAAGTTGTCCTGGAAAATCGGATGAAAAATTAATAAAAAGTGTTGTTAATATGGTAGGTCAATCACTTCATTGCATGTAGCATGCTGCACTTCACTTGATTATATTCTAACTTTTCACTTTTGGTGATTGGACCTATATTGGGCACAAAGTATATATTGTGCATTCTAAAGCTAAATGAGTAAAAACTATTATTTTTAAAATTTGGGTGTTTCTGAAATCCCCAAACTATACCATATATTTAAAAAATGAAATCCTCATAGAAGTACTTTATCACTGTTCAATTAAATGAATCATGTATTAATAAAGACCTGATACTTTAATTTCTTGGCTGTTTCTTTCTTGGTACCTTTACCTACTTTAAATTATTGCTTTATTTCCAAAATTATAATTTACAATGATTGGTAGACATCAGGGAAATAAGTTTGGCATGTGAAATACATATATTAATTGGTAATGATGCCATAACAAATACTAAACTGTGTGGCTTTTAAACAGTAATGTGCTTACTTACAGTTTTGGGGCTAGAACTGCAAGATTCATGTGTTTGGCAAGTTTGGTTTCTCTTGAGGCCTCCCACCTTAGGCTTGTAGATGCCCCCCACTTTCTTGCTGCGTCTTCATAGAATCTTTCTTATGTGTGTTTACATCTTTGTATCTCTTATGTGCCCAAAATATCCTTTCATAAAGACACTAGCCAGGTAGCCATGTAACCATTAGCTAGCTCTTAAATGACTATATCCAAATAGTCAGTGTGACTCACACAGGGCTTCAGTGTGAGTTTGGGGGTACATAAATCAGCCCATCACATCAATCTAACAAATAAAAGCCCAAATAACTTTATTGACCCATTCAGAATTTCCTTTTAAATGGTTTTGTTCTTTCTACATAGGAGTCATTCAGACACTGAAATATTTTCATTCTTTTTGTAGGTGTACAGTATAAAAATTCTTAACAGTAACTTGCCTTTTTATCGTTTATATTTGCAGTGATATACATAACTGTCTGCATATTTCACATCTTTCTCTTAGTTCCCTCAAATATGCTGAAATGATTTACTAATCTGTATTCTTTCTGTAAATATTAAATGCCATAGTAGTTTTTGTTTTTCTGAAAATAATTTCTGTAGGAAGACTTAGGTGAATGGCATAATTTTCTTACAGAATAAAAATTAATTTTATTAGTAGGATAAGTATTGATTAGTAATTATCCTTCTGACATGTTGTACTAGCACTGTGTATTCTTAAAAAAACTTCATTTTATCTGTGTACTAGATGATTTATTGTGACTGTTGATCATGTCAGAAGCCTATGTATTTATATTTCTTCAAAATTTAAGACCTTAGTATACAGATATGTGTATCTATACTATAAATGAGAAATTTAACTATACTATAAATGAGAAATTTGACTTCACTATTACGTGTGTGATTAAAAACTTAAACTTTTATTAATATAAAAATAAAAATGAATTGATTTTAAGATCTTATTTAGAATTATGAATTGATTTTGTGATTTATAAACAATTTTTATTTCTAATAACTACATGAAACAAATCAAGGAAATTAAAGTGCCCTTTGTAAAGATGGAATCAGTGGAAGAATTTGAAAGTTTGGATTCTCCAGAATTTGAAAATGTATTTGTAGTCATGGACTTCCAGGACTCTGCCTTTAATGACTTATACAAGACTGATTGTAGAGTTGTTGGGCCACCAGTTGTGTTAAACTGTGCAAAAAAAGGAGAGGTAAGCAAGAATATATACTTATTGTGACTTAAAGTTTAAATTTTTATTACTGAATTTTTAAAAAACATGAATAAAATTAGCCTATTAAAGTTGAGAGTATGTAATATTTAGAATAGACATAGTGGTGACTGCTCTAACATAGACCTTTAATTCTTTCTACTATAATTGTCATTAGTGAAAAATAAAAGCCCTTAAAAAATTGAACAAATATATCTATATCTATATATATCTATATATATCTATCTATATATGTATATATATATGAGTATGTTGTTTTGAAATGATCTAATTTGGTTAAATTTAGGTTCAAGAATCATATACAGGTACATATAGACACAATTTCCACCGTAAAAAAAATGACACACTTTAATTTTTATCAATTACCGAATGATTTAAAATTTGGGGAGTTATTTTAGCTTTTTGTGTTTGAACAGAATTTTGATATAAAGACCGTAGCAGAGTTTGTCTCTACCGTTTGCTTTTATTCCTACATTTTGCCGTTTTTACACTTACCTTATTAACTTAAAACTGTTTAGGTCATTGTGCTTCTTTTATTGTAGACACTAATAATAAAGGATAGTCTTTAATTTCCTGTTTTGACTCAGAATTTTTGGTCTCAAAAATCAAGTGTGTGTAAGCTTTGTAATTTTATATTTGTAAACATACATGAGCATATAAATAATACTGTTGGCTAAATTATTTAGTATCTCCATTTTTTAGCTTTAATATTAGAATTATATTTAGTTCAAGTGCACATATTAATTACCTAGCATTTAAAAATATCTTTTATGTCTTAACTTTAATTTGATACATTTACAATATGGAGTCTGAGCCTTTGTTTATAGACAGTATTTCATATTGTGAAAATACATTTTGGATTTAAAGATTTGAATATAAATATGTTTAATTTGCTAGTTGTAAAGTGTTTAGATTATGCATATCAAGTATGATTCAGAAATCATGAGACATATTTTTATTGTGAAACTTGCAATCTGGTTTTTGTTTTTTTTTTTTGCTATATTTTGTCACATACTGAAAAACCCAAGTAAATCTTTGGATTGGATAAGTTGATTGGCAAGAAGGAGAAATACATTTAGTTTGAGAAAGATGTGTTGTTTGATTTTGTAAAGAAAACTGACAGATTTAAATTTATTGCATTCTTCAGCCTTTGCCATTTTCATGTCGCCCACTGTATTGTACAAGTATGATGAATATAGTATTGTGCTTTACTGGATTTAGGAAGAAAGAAGAGCTAGTAAGTATTTTATCTTTTTATTGTTTTACTTATTTATGCATACAAGAACTGGGGTATAAGCCAGAGGTAGGGGTGAGAGGAGTCACCAGGAACAGAGATGGAGCAGAACAGGTGGATCTACTGAAATACACTGCTGAGGGAAGCAGTGGGCAAGACAGGAGAGGTCCGCTGCACTATGTGGGTCAGCTCCCTGGCTGGGGATCAGATTCATGCCACAGTGGCTAGTGATAGCTTAATAGTACTGTGACTTTAACCCCTGTCACCAGGGAGGCCAGTTCTAATTAATATTTTAAAACATTCTACCCAAAGAATCTTTTTACCCAGTATAATAAATATAAATTTTCATTTTTTTGGTAGAGTGTTTTGTTTTAAAAATACTGAAGGAGAAATTAATGTAAATATATCATGTTTGATATTTTTATAACTACTTTAACTCTTTTTGTTAAATATAGATCATCTACCTTATTTGAAATTTTTGCTTATCCATTGCAATTATTTTTTATGAAGGTCCTTCCTTAAGCTGTTCTGATTGCCCTAAAGAATTCATAGAAGTCTCCTTTGATTTGTAAAATTTTCTTTATTGGAGCTAAGAGCTTCAATTTCGTGGGAAGAATGTTGGTGTTAATGTAATCTTGTGGTTAAAAATATGTCATATATTTCAACTTTTGAAAGTCAGTTGTTCTAACTTACGTGTGAATATCTTTACCAGCGTATTTCTATGTATAAATTTGCCTATGCCAGTAAGGCAGATATATCCTTAATTAATTGACAAAAGTTTTGTATCTTTATAAATAGTATTGAGTAAATGCTAAATGAATTTTAAATGCAGTTTGAAATGTGTTTAAGTTAATCATAAAGTCAGTGTTTCTTAATTTTTCTTTTGAGGTCAGATTGGTGACATTGGTTCATCACATGGGTGGAGTTATTCGAAAAGACTTTAATTCAAAAGTTACACACTTAGTGGCAAATTGTACACAAGGAGAAAAATTCAGGGTATGTACAATGATAGATTTGGATATCATTATTTGGCATAAATTTTGTGTAGCATTATTGGAGTAGATTTAATAATACTCTTTAGTTCCATCTATTTCTCCAACAACTTTGATAAATACAGTTCTAAGATCTAAGGTGAAAATTCATGCTCATATTTTAAATTTTAGATTGCTGTGAGCCTGGGTACCCCAATTATGAAGCCAGAGTGGATTTATAAAGCTTGGGAAAGGCGAAACGAACAGTAAGTATTTAGTAATTAAGTAGTTAATTATGTTATAAAAATAAATGCATATGACAGAAACCTTAAAGTCTTAGGTAGAGTAGGAAAAATGAATTCAGTTTTGAGTAGCTTAGAGAATAAAGGTTAAATGAAGCAAAACTATAAAAAGTATTGTAAAATGTTTGTGGTGTCTTTGAACTTTGCCTTGTGAAATTTTAATTGTCATGAATATGCTACAGTTATTAATAGCTTAATGCATTGGACATTTGGATTGTGTACTTTTTGTTTGGTTCCATTGTTAGTGGTAATTTTATTGTTAAACTTTCCAACTTCATGATTCCTTCTTACTGTACTGCATTATATAGGATTTCATGCAACTGTGGAATTCCTAGAATACATATAAAGTTTCAGGTACACAGTAGGTATTCAATTCTGACAGAAAATTCGTCTGAATTTCCTTTGGGAAGATTGAGGGCACATCAATTTTTATTTTTATTTTTTTAATTTTTTTTTTTAAAAAGATTTTTATTTATTTGTGCATACAGAACTGGGGTACAGGCCAGAGGCTCAGGGGCGGCGAGAGGCTTCACCAGGGACAGAGTGGGGAGCAGAACAGGCAGATCTTTGAAGTACACTGCTGAGGGGAGCAGCGGGCAGGTCAAGAGAGGTCCGCCACGCCATGTGGTCACCTCTGGGGCATGCGGGAATCGAACTCATGCGGAAGTGGCTTTCAATTCTCAGTGCTGTGCTTTAACCCGCTGCGCCACCAGGGAGGGCCACATCCATTTTTATTTTAAACTGAAGTTTTTGTCAATCTTTCAAAAAGGCTAGCTGTAAATGATTTTCAGAAAATAGATTATGCTAAAGCCTTGAGAATGCATTTATAAGTTGGTATAACTTACAAAGATTTTATTTTGCTTTAAGGGGTTTCTGTGCAGCAGCTGATGATTTTAGAAATGAATTTAAAGTTCCTCCATTTCAAGGTTGCATTTTAAGTTTCCTGGGATTTTCAGATGAAGAGAAAGCCAACATGGAAGAAATGACTGAAATGCAAGGTATAATTTAATATAATTTATAAGTAATTTGTATGTTCTCTTTTTCGGCTCCTACTTAATTAGCTCATGGTGAATAAGCCTTTTTAAAAATTTGGGGTTGGGAGTGTAGGCTACTTATTAATTTTGTCTGCATTAATAAAAGCTTATTTATACCTCTGTGCATTCTTCTTTAGGAGGTAGTTATTTGCCAGTTGGAGATGAAAGGTGTACTCACCTTATAGTTGAAGAAAATATAGTAAAAGAGCTTCCATTTGAACCTTTAAAGAAACTTTATGTTGTCAAGCAAGAGGCAAGTAAATCCAGAAAATAGTTCTAATAATTATTACTAATAACTTTTCTGATAAGGTATCTCTTTATTAAAATGTTCTTTCTCTCATCTAGTGGTTCTGGGGAAGCATTCAAATGGATGCCCGAGCTGGGGAAACTATGTATTTATATGAAAAGGTATGATTCTTTGCTTTGGTCATTTGTTCTGTGAATTTGTCTGTACAAAAGTATGGTATCATTTTTAGTCAGATTCTCTCTTATGTCATGTTTGAGAGTTTCAGAACAATTAATCACTTGATAATATTATTCTTACTCTATTTAGATTTAACTGAAAGTATTCAATGTAAAGGACATTATGTTATCTAATAAGTGTGCTAATTTGTGATAATCATTAGTAATAATAACATCCTGACTTCAGAATCTTAGAACCTTATGGAAAGAGTTGCACAGTGCAGAATGTTATGTGCTATAATCACATAATGTATGTTGAGTAGTTTTACTCTGAGAGACTCAGGTGGGATTGAAAAGCCTAATAACTATGAGCATAAGAGCAACGTTGAGTCAACTTTCTAGGTTAACCTAGTTAAGGATATTCAAGTTAAGTGGGGAAGAGGTATGAGAGTTTGAAGGTACATTAAAGTAACAAATAGCTTAGTATGGCTTTAGGAAGAGTAAAGAGGCAGCCAACAGATAAACCTTACTAGCTAGTCAGAATCTCATGAGTTATTTATTTAAAAAAAAAGAAAAATTATTTATTTATTTATTGATACAGAGCTGGGGTACAGGCCAGAGGTGCAGGGGCAGTGAGAGGATTCACCAGAGACAGAGTGAGGAGCAGATCAGGTTAACTGAGAAGTACATTGCTGAGGGGAGTAATGGGGCGGGTCAGGAGAGGTCTGCCGCACCATGTGGATTACCTCCAGGGCAGGGATTGAACTCATGGTGAAGTGGCTTTAGCTTCTTAGTGGTATGCTTTAACCCACTGTGCCACCAGGGAGAGCCCTCATGAGTTATTTTTAACATGTTAAAAAGTTTGAATTTTATCCTGGAAATACTGGAAGCCATTGAAGAATATATTAAGGGCAGAGATGTCACTTAAAAATGACTACTAGTAGAACACATGTAAGGAAAAGCCAGGCTTTCTGCTGGATCTTGGTGAAAAGCAGTATCATTCACCAAAATGTGACATAAAGGTAATTGAGGTAGCTCTAAGGGAATATTTACTTGAGTTTGGGATTTAATAATTTTGAATGGAATATAGATGAGGTGTGAATTTATTGTGTTTCAGCAAAATCTATGGGAGCTATCTTTATACACTCCTGTTCTCTTTTTATAGTTCTTAACATAAAGTTTAAAATATATATGCTTTCACTGTCAGGAGAGAGCTCTTAAAATCAAGTGTCTCTTGACAAATACTGGAGAGCACTGTGTCCAGGTATGCTAAATGCAAGGGGTACAGTGAACAGTATGAATGGTTTCTGCCCTCCTGGAGTTTATGGTCTTAATAGAGGAGTAAATAGTAAACAAACCTACAGATGAATATCTAATGGGGATTGTGCTATGAAGAAAAAGCACAAGAAAGAAAAAAGTTCTAGGGGTTATATGATTACAGTAGTCCCTTGATTATTAATTTTTTTGAAGCTTCTGAATTACCTATAAGAGTGTATAGTTGAAAAATTCTTGTGTAAAGTCCAAATTTTGTTAGACTTAAATGTATTTTTCTTTGTTCCTTTATAAGAATCATGGAAGCAAATAAAATTTTTGTCTTTTCATTGTAGGCTAATACCCCAGAACTCAAGAAATCAGTGTCACTGCTTTCTTTAAGTACCCCAAACAGCAACCGCAAAAAACGTCGTTTAAAGGAGACACTTGCTCAACTTTCGAGAGAGACAGACTTGTCACCTTTTCCTCCCCGTAAGCGTCCATCAGCTGAACATTCCCTTTCTATAGGGTCACTCCTAGATATCTCCAACACAACAGAGTCGAGCATTAACTATGGAGGTAATTCACTTTCTAAAAAATTGATGTTTAAAATTTGGTGGAATGGTTATTAGAATATATATGAAAATTCTAGAGTGTGTACGAAAAATTCAATCTGTAATTAACATTGTTCTAGTAAAAGAGAAATAACACATGAAAATACTTTCATTAAATGATTGCTCACCAGATACTAAGTCTTTCATGCATTTTGTGTATTTTTGAGATGGACTTCATTACCCTGATTTTACAGAAGAATAAACTGAGGTTAGAGTAACTCTAGGACCAAACAGCACTAAATTAAAAGTTTCTATTGCTTTTTAAAATGCCTGCTCAACAAAATCACAGATGTCACATGAAAGTAGGTATAATGAAGTCAGATTAGAGTAAATTCACTCTCTTCCCAGCTAATGGTAGAAGGCTTCTACAATTCTGTCTTGAATATTAAATTTCCTCTCTTGTTTTTGTTTTAATCTGTTGTATTTTTTATTTTTAAGAAGCAGCCTTCTACTGATCCCATGACACTCAACCATTCACTAACTTATCTTTCTATCCTTTCAAAAGATTACCTTCAAAATATTACCTTGATAGCCCTTCAAAATATTATCCCTTTGACGATATCCTTGCTTTTTAACATATTCCAATTGAATTTTAGCCCTTACTACATGAAATTTTTTGTTCTGGAAGACTGATTATATTATGTAACCAATAGCATCCAACACATGGACAACTATACTTTCTTAGTTTTTTTTCTCTTGTACATCACTTACCTCATTCTTGCTTAACTTCTTTTCCAACTCTAAATATTGAATGTTATTCCTGAGTTGTTGTTTCTTCTGTTTTTTTTTCTCTGAATGATCTCATTTCATTCTGTGACTCAGAAATCACTTATATGCTGATAACTTAAGAATTTTTACTCTTTCCTGTTTCAACTGCCTACATGATACTTCCTTGGCCATATCTATTATCTTAAACTTCGTATCAAATTAGAACATTTTATTCTCTGTACCACTTTGAATTCTGTTCCTTTATCACTCTTTCTTAAGGATTTCAAAAAACTGCAGTGGCCTCCAAAATAATTTCTACTTCTATTTGTGTGAAGCAATTAGAGGTATTTCTAAAATGTGTAGTAGATTAGGTGGTGTTAGTCCTCTGCATAAGTCAGTCAAGTGGATTTGAGAATATAAGAGAACAAGAAAACAGAAACCAGTAAACAAATTAAGTTTTTAAGAAAGGCAGGTAGTTTGCTTATATGTGGAGGAGAAATAGTCAAATTAGAAAGGTTAATTGGAAACTTAAATATTAGAGGGCTTTAAAATCAGTCTGCATGTCTAAACTTTATAGTGTTGTCATCAATAATTTTAGAAATTCTTGAGCAACAGTAATTTTGTAATTTGTAGTGGGTTCTGAAGAATGAGTAGAAAAAAGGGCATTTTGGAGATAGACCATAAAGTGGCTTTAGTTATAAGTTAAGGCTTTGAGCCATAGTTGCTGATGGTGATGGAAAGAGGAGTAAGAAGCAACACTGGGAAATACTGATAGAATGGAGTCATAGGAAGGGACTAGAGAAGGAAATGACAGTGAAATATCAAATGGAAGACATGTTTACCTTTGTTAAAAATAGAAAGTTTGTATTTTAGAGGAAAGTTTAGAGAAAATCCAGGTTGGGTTGAGGCAGATATATTCAGTGGCATTTGGAAAAGTCAAACCATATATTTGGGTGTAGAGAATAGATAATGTAGATCTGAGAATTTATTGGTTCTGAAATGTTGATACGCATGTGATGATAAGAGCTGATCATAAAAAACTGAATGTTGAATATGTAGTTTAGAAGAAAGTAAAAGAAAATGAGCCCCAAAAGAACTATGTGACAACTAAACTAAATATTACAAACTGTGTTTAATAGACTCAGTCTGTAGTAGACAATAATTAAATCTGTTTGTGTCAACCTGAAGTATCCTATATGTGGTGAAAGTGTTTGATACATGGCTAGTGGGAATATTTGAAATCTCTTGTCTTTAAAAAGTTTCCAAAGCTCCATAAAATAAAACTGTATAGTTTTCTTATATGTGAATATAAAAAAAAATCTGATTTTTTTTGGTAACTAAAGTACAAATAATGTAATCAGGAAATTAACATTAATACCATGTGTAGTGTTTGAAATTATCACAGAATAAAATTGATGTGCTGGCTTTTTCACCATTTAGTTTTATCATGCATTCTTTTTGTATTAAAATTTACTATTAAACAATTCTGTTAATATCAAAGCAATCTATATGGTAAAAAATGTATTTTAAACTTTTATTAAATTTTAATTTTTCCTGATTATTCTTGAAATACTAGTATATCATTTCACTTTGGGTTGGAATGGGTGTTTTATGTTAAGATACTTTGAACTAACAGAATTTGCATGTGATACTAGATTTCATTGAGGGAAGTTTCATAAAATACATATATATACACACATATACACATATTTAGCTTTACTTTTATATGTAAACATATATGTCCATATATGAAAAGTTTTCTGTTACTGTAATTCTGTAATCATTACAATCTTTCTCCTTTTCTAATGACTGTTTTTGTATGTCACTTTCTACTTTATTATTTTTAAGTAATTTTAGATTACAAAAAAATGGCAAAATAGCACAAAGATTCTGGTATGTTCATTTTCTAAGTGGATATTCTGCTATCTTTGCTTTAGCATTTATTCACTCATGCATTCATCTACTCTTCTTATACTTGTGTAGTTTCCTTATATCTGTGTTTTTGAAGGGAAGTTGTATGTATGATGTGCCTTTGCCTCTAAACACCTAACTTAATATTTCCCAAAATGTAGGGATATTTTTTTTGTAACTATAGTACAAATAATGTAGTCAGGAAATTAACATTAATACCATGTGTATTTTATGTACCTTCAAATTTTACCAGTTGACCCACAAATGTCCTAATGTTCTTTTTAGCAAAAGGTAAAAATTTTATTTTTGTCTAGGATTCACTCCAGGATCACATATTGTTAATTATGCCTCACAGTTTCTTCTGTGTTCTATATTGCTAGCTTCTTCTAATCCGGAACAGTTTCCTTTCTTTTTAATAACTTTGACGTTTTTGAAGCGTACGGACTAATTCATAGAATGTCTGTTAATTTGGAGTCACTGATATTTTTGACCATTATTTTTTAATGGTGTTATCCTGTAAGGAAATTTTATTTTTATAAATAAATCTGTATGATGGTGTATTTGTAAAAGCAGGTATCTGCTTCCTGTTTGTTAGATCTGTATAATGCTTGCTTCATATATCTGGTTTCCTGCTTAAATATTTCCTTTTTATCTTTTAGAAACACCAAAGTCTTGTTCTAAATCTTCTAAAAATCCCACTCCAGTTCCTTCAAAGCAGTCAGCCAGGTGGCAAGTTGCAAAAGAACTCTATCAGACTGAAAGTAATTATGTAAATATATTGGCCACAATTATTCAGGTAAGAGTTTGTTGCAAAATGATTTCTGTTCTGCGTTCCTAAGTAAAAGATCTAAGAGATGTTATTGCAAGAAAATTATCTGAGCAGAGAATTTGTGGGGATGTGTGTGTGTGTGTCTTGAATATAAAAATATAAAAATAATTTTGATCTCGGTAACATTGGCTTAAATCATTGTGTATGTTTGAGGAGTACAAGTTCTTACCTCTTTCTGTATATTGTCACACCATGCTTACTACCAAAGTACCATAACTGTCTACCACAGTCCATTGTACTCATGGGCATTGTGAACATGGGCATTAAATGTGGAAATGTGTTTAAAATAACAGCTATTAAGGCAATACCAAAATGGGAATAGTAGTTTTAATTTATGCTGAAATCATATTAATTTTTATAGTTTTTAAAGCAAAGGATGCTCAAAAAGATCTTAATGAGGACAGAGTTAATTTAGTCAAGATACTACTTTCTTACATTGGGAAGTGGTAAATAACTTTTTGAGGTTGTGTGTTCTTGAGCCACTGTTTTATTTATTTAGTGTCATGTACATGAAAAATAGTGAAGCATAACAGTATGGATATCGGTAAATTTTTTCAGTAATCTTTTGTGTGTAGAGTTTCTTAAAGTATACAGTGGTTAGTTATATAAAAGTTAGTAACTCACTACTTACACATATTAAATGCACTATAAAATTATTTCTAAAGACAATTCTAGTGAATCCTTATAGGGTGAGATTGAAGAAGCTATTAAAAAAAGCTGAATTCAAGGGCCTGAAAGA